TTGCTAACATGTTGGGTTTAGGAAAGCATCTTAGTCCAGAGACTTGTTTGGTCATGCCCTATACCTGAGTCAGTGACTGTCTGTCATGTTTCTGGGAACTTTCATGTGTCTCTAGAAGACCCGAGTCACATCTTCCAAATCTGGGCTAGGGCTAGAGTGCTGTGCTCTTTTTTTTTTTTTTTTTGTCAGTGATTTCACCTTCCCATGTCATCGATACTCAAAAGCAATGTTCACACTTGATGGCTGCTTGGTAGCCAAGTGAAAATTGCTGGAGGTTCTTGAGATGTGTTATTTTGTGTTATTTTCTGGTGGTATTGAAGGGAAGCTGCTGAATCTTGTACACAGAAGTTGTGAAATTCCTCACAGGATTTCTGACTCTTAGGATTAGCCCTAATCAATAATCAATAGCACATTGTTAAGAAACAGGATGATTAGATAGCATCTACCCAAGGTCTAGCAGATGTTCAGGAGACGATAGCTAAACATGCAAGTGTTGCAACCTTTGTACTTCTAAATCACTTGTGATCCTGATAAAGCGTGCATCTACGGAAGCATGTGGACCAGTAACAAGACTCCTTACTTCCTCACTCAATCACCAGATGACCACCAGAAATAACTGCGTTACCATCAAAAGCACGATCGATGGCCGTAAAGACCATGGGATAATTAAGAAAAAGCTGATGTAATGTAAAAGATGTTACTACGTAAATGATTTCTGGGAAACTAATGAATATGTAATATGTACGGACATAACAGCAGTGTGATGGTGCCAAGCTAGCGGAGCACTTATGGTGGAGAATCCCCAGTGCTACCCCAGCGCTGCAATAAAGAATACCTGTGAAAAAAAAGAAAACAACCTGCGCTGTTGAGTCAAATTTCTTTGTTTCAGTATCTCTCCTGCAGCTTTGGAACCCTTATTGCCGTTGGAGTTACTGTTTTTGTGGTGATTGTAGTGACTATTATTCTGTGCCTCACCTGTTCATGTTGTTGCCTGTATAAAGCATGTCGGAGACCACAGCGTAAGTACCTGCATATTCATTTTCTTTTTCAAATCTTTGAACAAGGCTTTTTTTGGGTTTTAACCTGGAAAATTGTATTCCCATAAACAGTGAAAACAATCTTCCCTTACCTCTTTCCTACAAAAGCTGCAATACTTAAACATTAAAACAAGCACTTAAGCTGCTTCAGAATGTGAAGCTGCAGAAAGATGTTTTGGATTATTCTCTAAGCATTTGTAAGTTCTCTTTTCCCACCCTCCAATGTTTGGGTTCTGGGTGTTTGTTGCTGTTGTTTGTTTAGGTAAGCAGGGGATAGAAAAAAAAATTTAAATTTTTCCCAGTCTCTTAAAAATACACCTTAAAAAACACAACAAAGACCTGGGACTGCAACAGTGCAATCTTGAACAAAGCCTGTAACTGTAGCATGAAGAGGAAGGAGATCTTGAAAACAAATTATTGCAGCTTATTAGAAAGTGCTAATACTCCCTTATTGCAGAGAGCTGAACCAGTGATCCAACACCAGCTCCTACAAAAACCAATGACTTAATGCC